AATTGTTGAATGTGAAACTGATGATGTGCCCTGTAAACTTTCACTCAATCCACAATAAAAACCTTAAATTAAGAAAAAAAATTTTTTTAAAGTTGTGGATACATTCTATTCCTTTAATTCTATTTTTCTATAAATTTAAAAAAACTTAAACCATACATTTTATAAATGAAGAGACTGTAGCCTCTGGCAAATTTTTGGAGACAAAATATTTTACCAGTTCTGAAAAAAGAATAAATACATCTAAAAAAAAATTGAATTTGAATTTTTTTCAAGAAGAATATTCCAAGTTTCATCAATATTATGGCAAATTCTTTCACTTAAGAAAGAAATATTACCAGTATTGCACAAACCATCAGAGGATATAAAAAGAAGGAACACATTTCAACTCATTTTATAAAGTCAGCATTATCTACATACAATTGACAGAGGAATTGAAAGAAAAGTATTAACTTCTCACAATCATCATTACAAAATTCTAAGATATATGTTTGCAAATCAAATTTAGCAATATATAACATGAATAGCATGTCTTAAGAAAGTGGAAAATATTTGAAGAATGCAAAATTGAGGTAGCATTCAAAATCAGTCAATGCAATTCCTTTACAGAAAAGAGGAGAAAAACCATATAATCATCACAAGAGAGCCAGAAGAAGTATTTAATATGTTTTAATACCACATTCAAGATAAAAATTCTCAGCAGTTTAGCAATAAGTAGTGTGGTGGTTTTAAAATGTTCACAAATCCTGACACTTCTCTCATCCAGATGTCTGTCCTATTCATTTGAATTCAATACAATAGCAATAAGAACAGAGTATTGTTGACAATTGACAAGTTCATTCTAAAATTTAGATAGAAAGCCAAAGGATACAGCATATGTAAAAATAAAAAGAGGACTACCAGATTTCAAGGTTTACTATAAAACTTCACTAGTTAAGCCAATATGGTCAAAGGACAGATAGAACCAATCAAAACGATGAGAAATACCAGAAATACATCCACAGGTCTGTTGCTCATGAATAGGGCTCCTTTAGACTGTTCTCTGTTTTTAGATATGATTAAATTTTTCACAGTCAAAAGTAAGGGGAAAAAGAAAGAAACAAATTACAAAGCATTAAAAATAAAACAACAGAAGAGCAACAAATTATCAGATGGTGGTGGTAGTGGTTTGCCATGGAGTGGGTTCCAACTCATAGTGACCAAAAGTGGAGCAGAAAGCCTCCTCTTTCTCCCATGGAACAGCTGATGGTTTTGAACAGCAGACCTTGAAGTTAGCAGCCCAATTTGTAACCACTATGTTACTAGAGCTCCTTAAATTATCAGACAGTCATCAAGAAATCAAATGAATTGCACTAAGCAAATCTGTTGTTACAGAAGTAAAGGCATCACTTTGAAGACAAAGCTGCCCTTGACTGAAGCCTTGGTATTTTTAAATACCTCATATGCATGCAAAAGTTGGACAATGAATAAGGAAAACTATAGAACTGATGCATTTGAATTATGGTGTTGAAGAAAAATATTCAAAGTACCCTACAATGCCAGAACAACCAAATCTCTCTCGGAAGAAGTACAGCCAGAATGTTCCTTAGAAGCGAGGATGAAGATACTGATCTCTCTTACTTTGAACATAGTGTCAGGAAGTAGCAGTCCGTGCAGAAGAACACCTGCTTGAAATAAAGGCGTGTCAGCTAGAAAGAAGGAGCTCCTCAACAAGATGGATTGACAGGGTGGCAACAACAATGAGCTCAAATATAGCAACAGTTGTCAAGATGGCACAGGGCTGGGCACTGATTCATTCTGTTGTGTATAGGGTAGCTATGAGTCAGAACTGACTCAATAGCACCTAACAGCAACAACGTTAATATAAGGAATACCCTGGGCGGCACAATCAGTTAAGTGCTCAACTACTAGTTGAAAAGTTGGTAGTTCATACCCACCCAGAGGCACTCAAGAAGATAGGCCTGATTTTCTGGGTCACAGTCTTGACAATCTGGGCACGTAGTGTCACCATGAGTCAGAATCAACTCTACTGCAATTCAGAGTAACAGCAGAGTAAAGGACTAGACACCACCTTCAACAATATCCCCGCAGTTAATTTACCAGTTGTTGTAAAGTGCCATCGAGTCGGTTCTGACCCACAGAGGCCCTGTATAGGGTTTCCGAGGAGCAGCTGGTGAGCTTGAACCACCAACCCTATAGTTCAAACAGCTTTGCAGTCTGGTGCATTAACCCACAGCGCCACACCAGGATTCCAATTTACCAGTAGAACTTATTAAATGCAATTCAGCAATCTCATAAGGGACTCACTAAGACTTAGATGTTTTAATCATTTTCATTTCATACAAATTTTATTATCTCTGAAGAAAAAAAAAAAGGCAATTCCAATGCATTGTGGTTTCTTTGATTAAAAATAATTACTAAAGAATATTATCTATCATTGAATCCCAAAATGCTTTACCAGGTTGCTGTGTTTCCCATTTTACTGTAAAGCCTCTCTCATTTCTTAAATGCTCAGAGTAAAAATGGAAGTAGAGCGCATGGTCACTGCTGAGAAGTTCATGAGGAGGGCTGGAGCCACAGAATCTTCCAAGTTGGAATCCTGCAGATGATTCTCCATCATAAATCTGAAGAAATTCATATGGACAGTTGTCCACTGATTCTAATTTGAAAAATGTGAAAGTGATGCGCAAGACCTAAAGAGTAAAAGAGCACAATCTATTTATTACTTTTCATTTGCATGTTAATTCTAAAGTCTTTTTCCTATTAGCTAGGAAATATTCATTCATACTGAGTTACTTTCAACAGCTATATCTACATTTTTCTATTTATCCACAAGTGCAAATGAGCTTCCAAAAGTTTGAGGAAAAAATCCATTCTCTTTTAATTCCATTTTTTTTTTCATGAACTTTTTGAAGTCCCTTCATGCTTGTAGCAATTCTACATAATTCTACATTACTTTCAAAATTTGAGAAGACCACACTTAGGTGAAAAAATGTAACATTAATGAAATAGATTTACCTGGATTTCATTAAACTCATGTCCATCAAGCAAAGGTATTTCAAATGTATAGTTGACATTCTTTCAAAATCCGGTAAAATAAATTTGGCATTTGAAAATTTTACCTTTCATTAACTGGCTAGTATTACCATTCACAGTACTTTATACCTTGAACACTGGATTCACTGTTGTTGTTGTTGTTAAGTGCCGTTGAGTCAATCCCAGCCCATAGCGACCCTGTGTAGGGTTTCCGAGAAGCAGCTAGTGAGCTTGAACCACCAACCTTGAAGTTCAAATGGCTTTGCAGTCTGGCGCATTAACCCACAGAGCTACACCAGGACTCCAGAATCACTGTAGCATGCATCAAATACATGGAGACTCATCATTGATCGCCAGGTATGCTGATTTCATAGTGATCTATGAAACTTACAGCAAGATTCTGATGGTAAGTTCAGAATGACAACTTGGGACAAAGGCTTTGGCCATGACAGTGTAAACTGAATTTTTTTTTTTTTTTTCAGTGACTGGATATCATTAAACTAGTTGCTGCTGAGTTGATTCCAACACATGGGGTCCCTAGCGTGTTAGAATAGAACTGTGCTCTCTTGGGTTTTCATGGGCTGACCAGGTCTTTCTTCTCAGGAGTCTCAAGTTAGACTTAAACTTCAAAACCTGCAAGTAGGAGTTAGTTAACTCTTTACCCTTAAATGGGTAAAACCTATGGTTGAAAATGTTGCTGCGAAGTGCCATCAAGTTAGTTCCAACATATAATGACCCTGTATGGGGTTTCTGACAAATGGCTGGTGTATTTCAACCACCAACCTTGCAGCTCAAACCCACCTTTCGATCCAGTGCTTATCCTACAAGCCACCTGGGAAAGGCAAACACTTTGAAAAGTACTAAACATATAAGTTGTTTTTAAATGTCTTCCAGTCAGATCTGACTCATAGTGACCCTGTATAGGAGTCCTGGTGTGGCGTTGGGAGTTAATGCGCTGAACTGCAAGGTGGGTTAGAACTGCAAGGTCAGTTGTTGAAATTCACCAGATGCTCCTCGGAAACCCTGTACAGGGTCGCTATGGGTCGGAGCTGACTCGATGGCACTTAACAACAACAATAGTGTTTCTGAGGAGCAGCTAGTGAGCTTGAACCACCAACCTTGCAGTTCAAATGGCTTTGCAGTCTGGTGCATTAACCCACAGCATTAACCAACCTTATGGTTTAGTACTAACCTTACAGAGCCACACCAGGACTACAAACATACAAGCAAGAGTTAATAAACAAAAAAAAAAGAAATGTGTCTCAGAGTTAAAATGTGGTAATATTGAAAGATAATATAATACAACTTCATTTCAAACAAACAACCTAAAACACGAGGCTGAATTCAATTTCCATAATAACCTAAAATCATAATAGTTACTCAACTATTGAAAAAGCATATCAGGATTTTTTAAATTCTGTGTTAAAATATTTTTGAGATTCATTACATAGCATTGCTTCATTTTCACCTTTGAAATTCCAATGAAAATTAAATTTTGCTTATGAATTAAGCTACCCATATTTTAGTATATTTTCTCTACATTTTGTATATTATGATGAGGAGATATAAAATAGTGAGAATCAAGAAAATCCATATAAATGTTCTGTTCTGACAAAAAGGTAAAATGTATTTAAAATTTTTTAACACTAATTTTTTTTCTCAAGAGGAAAATGTTTTCTAATGTTAATAAATAGCAGTCATATAAATTAAGTAGAAATTAAAATAACGTTGTTGTTGTTGATAAGTGCCTTTGAGTTGATTCCAACTCATAGTGACCCTGTACAGGGTTTCTGAGGAGCAGCTGGTGAGCTTGAACTACTGACTTTGCCACTGAGAAATTTACTTTGTAGTTTATTCTATTGTGAGGTCACCATGTAGCAAAGCACCCTCCCTCTTAAAGAGAAAAAAAAATTGCTTTCTGAACCTTTTACAATGATCTCTGTAATACTAATTTGTTGGAACAAGTTTGTAGAAATCTGAGATAAAACTCCAATGTTGTTGTTGTTGTTATGTGCCGTAGAGTCAGTTCTGACTCATAGTGATCCTGTACAGGGTTTCTGAGGCTGTAAATCTTTACAGAAGCAGAAAGCCTCATCTTTCTCCCGTGGAACAGCTGGTAGTTTTGAACTGCTGACCATGAGATTAGCAGCCCGATTTGTAACCGCTACCAGAGCTCCTTAAATATGTTGTTGTTGTTGTTGTTGCTATGTGCCGTGTAGTCGGTTCCGACCCATAGCGACCCTGTACAGGGTTTCCGAGGCTGTAAATCTTTGCGGGAGCAGAATGCCTCATCTTTCTCCTGCGGAGCAGCTGGTAGTTTCGAACTGCTGACCTTAAGGTTCACAGCCCGATTCGTAACCACTACGCTACCAGAGCTCCTTTCCTTAAATATAGTGCTTTATTTTACTGAATCCATGAGATTGTTGAAAAATAAATATTTTTAAAAGTCTAAGTAGTTAGTGTTGGGGATGAAAGCACTAAAACCTGCTATAGGTTCAAATGTGATTTTGAAGCGTGTTCCAGCAGCAGTTAACAGCATAAGCCTTGAAGTAAAATGGTGTGGTTTGAGTCACTGCATACTACTCACAAAATCACCTGAAACTGAACAAATTTCTTGGCTTGTTTAGGTTCAATTTCCTCATTGTATCTGTATGTGAAATAGTTCCTAGCATATTACCTGGCACAGAAAAGATATTTAGTAAATATACTATCTTAATCTTGTTGTGGTTAGGTACTGCCAAGTTGGTTCAGATTCATAGTGACACTACATGCAACAAACAAAACACTACCCAATCCTACACTACCTCACAATTGTTACTACACTTGAATGGATTGCTGCTGCCACTGTGTTCAGCCATCTCGTTGGGTGTCTTCCTCTGTTTAGCTCACCTTTCACTTTGTTGTTGTTGTTATGTGCCATGGAGTCAGTTCCGACTCATAGCGACCCTGTACAGCGTTTCCAAAGGCCGTAAATCTTTACAGGAGGAGAAAGCCTCCTCTTTCTCCTGCGGAACAGCTAGTAGTTTCAAACTGCTGACCTTGAGGTTAGCAACCCGATTCGTAACCTCTATGCTACCAGAGTTCCTTTCACTTTACCAAGCATAATTTTCTTCTCCAGGAACTGGTCTAACTTGATAACATGTTTAAAGTATGAGAGATGAAGTCTCATCATCTTGGCTTCTAAGGAGTATTGTGGCTGTGTTCAATACAGATAAGCTTGTTCTTCAGACAGTCCATGGTGCTTTTTAATATTCTGCTACAACACCATAACTCAAATGCATCAATTCTTCTATAGTTTTCTTTATTCATTGTTCAATTTTCACATGTATATGATATTACTGAAAATGCCATGGCTTGGGTCAGGTGTACCCTAGTCCTCAAACTGACATCTTTGTTCTTGAACACTTTAAAGGGGCCTCGTGCAGCAGATTTGCCTAATGCAATACTCCATTTGATTTCTTGACTGCTGCTTCCATGAGCACTGATTTGTGATCTAAGAAGAAAAAACACTTTGATAACTTCAGTCTTTTCTCCCTTTACCATGATGTTGTTTATTGGTCCAGTTATGAGGAGTTTTGTTGTCTTAATATTGAGGTATAAGCCATACTGAAGGTTGTGGTCTTTGATCTTCATCAGTATCTCTTCACTTCCAGCAAGGTTGTATCATCTATATATTTCAGGTTGTTAATGAGTCTTCCTCCAATCCTGATGCCACATTCTTCTTCATATAAGTGAGTTTCTCCAGATTATTTGTTCAGCATACAGATGGAATAACTATGATGAAAGAACACAACTCTGGCACACACCTTTCCTCATTATAAACCATTCAGTATCCCCTTGTTCTGCTCTAACAACTACCTACCTCTTGCCTATGTACAGGTTCCTAATGAACACAATTAAGTTCTCTGGAATACCCGTTCTTTGTAATGTTATCCATATCTTGTCATGATTCACACAGTCAAATGCCTTTATATAGTCATTAAAGCACAATTAAGCATCTTTCTGGTATTTTCTGCTTTCAGCCAAGATTCTTCTGATGTCATCAGTAATATCCATAGTTCCACAACCTCTTCTAAATCTGACTTCAGTTTCTGGCAGCTCCCTTCCAATGTAATGTTACAACTGCTTTTTAATTATCTTCAGCGAAAATTTACTTGTATGTGATATAAATGTTGTTCAATGATTTCTGCATTATATTGGGTAACCTCTCTTTATGGATACATATACATAGGTATATATATGGATCTCTTTCAATCAGTTGGCCAGGAAATTGTCTTGCAAATTTCTTGGCATAGATGAGGGAGTAGCTCTAGCAATGTCTCAATTTGTTGAACGATTTCAATGTGTATTCCAACAATTCCTGGAGCCTTGCTTTTTGCCAACGCCTTCAGTGTACCTTGGAATTCTTCCTTTAGTAACATCAGTTCTTGATAATATGCTAATTCTTGAGATGGCTGAACAGTAACCATTTCTTTTTGGTACAGTGACTCTATGTATACCATCTATCTTCTTTTGATATATTCAGGATCATTTAATATTTTGCCCATAGAGTTCAACACTGCAATTCAAGGCTTGTTTTTTCTTTAGTTGATTCAGCTTGAGATGCTAAGTGTGTTCTTCACTTTTGCCAGGTCTTTAAGCATTTCATTGTAATACTTGACTTTGTCTTCTCTTGCTGCCCTTTGAAAATTTTCTGTTAAGCTCTTTGACTTCCTCAATTCTTCCAGTTGTTTTACCTTCTCTACACTGGAGAAAAGTTTCAGAGTCTTCTCTAACGTTCATTTGGTCTCTTTCTTTTCTGTCCTTTCAATGACCTTTTGCTTTCTTCCCAAATGACGTTTTTGATGTAGTCCCACGGCTCTTCTGGTCTTCAGTCATTAGTGTCTAAGTACCAAATTTGTTCTTGAGGTGTTCTATAAATTCAGGTTGGACATAGTTAAGGTCATATTTTTGCTCTTGTGGACTAGTTTTAATTTTCTTCAACTTGAGCATGAACTTATCTACAGGCAATTGAATGTCTGTTCCATAGTCTGCCCCTCTGGCTTTGTTTTGGCTGATGATATTGAGTTTTTTCACCATTTCTTCCCACAAATATAGTCAATTTGATTCCTATGGATTCCATCTCATAAGATCCATGTGTTTAAGCATCTTTTATGTTGTTTAAAAAAGGTATTTGTAACGAATAAGTTATTGATCTTTCAAAACTCTATTATGTGATATACATCTTCATTTCTATCACAAAGGCTATATTTTCCAACTACTGATCCTTCCTAATATTGATCTTTATCTTGTTGTTAAGTGCCATTGAGTCTGCCTTGACTCATAAGCGACTCTGTATAGGTTTTCTGAGGAGCAGCTGGTGGGTTTGAACTGCCTACTTTCTGGTTTGAAGTTCAGTGCTGATCCAATAGCACCACTAGGAATCCGATCTTAATCTTCATCACCAGTACAATCAGTATAATACTAAGTAAGCATTTTCATACAGTACCAATTCAGTAACAATATAACTTTACAAATTAACTACTGGTTTACAGTCTATCAGTCAATGTACTGCTGTTGTTTAATGTCATAGAGTTGGTTTCAACTCATAGCTACCCTGTATAGGGTTTCTGAGGAGTGTCGGGGGAATTTGAACCACCAACCTTGTGGCTCAAACTGAACTTGTGGTCCAGTGCTTTATCCCACAGTGCCACACCAGGACTCCATTTTGTCCAAAGCATGAACTTGGGAGTCAAAACAATTTGACTATGAAATTCAAGTATTCCAATTACAAGCTAAAGGGTGTTTTTCAAAATTACTTATTTTATTTTTATTTTCCATGGTTTCATCTACAAATGATGATACTGCAATTTATTTCAAGAGTTAGTATTAACATTAGCGAAATATGTACAAAATGTCTAGCCCAAAGCCTGGCAGTTGGTAAGTACTCAATATATAACACTTGAAAATATGATAATATGTGCTGTATATAATACATGATAATTATTCTATATGAGTAAAATGTAGAACTGGACATTTACCTTTCCCTCTTCAGTTCGTATGACCCAGAAGCAGTTAACATCATGAACATAACCAATGCCAGAGCTACTGTAGCTGAAGGTTCCATACATCCCAGTCAGTGACCCTCCACAAACTGCAAAGGAAAAGATGAAATGTGCTTTACAGAGACTCATAAAAGAAAGATCCTAGGCAATGCTAACCCTGCTACTGAAATTTCTAGAAAAATCTAAGCAAAATTTCTAGAAAAGTCTAAGGATAAAAGCAACACCATGCCACTGTCAACATCTGTCAGATGTACTTGATGCCCCTTCCCTTCTTCCATGACTTCCCCTTGACTCTGTTTTCTCTAATTTTTAACTTCTCCACTTTAATGATTCTTAACTTTTCCACACACAATTTAGTTCTGATCTTTAGCTCTTGTATATGCCCTACCATTTTGTATTAACTACACTTTCTCAACTAGAAGGTAAAACAGATAATAGGTACAGACAACATTGTGCATTCTATAGTGTCCCCACAAGGTCTACTATATTCCTAAACATACAGTGAAAGATCAATTCATATGTGTCGAGTCCAAATCAGTAGTCATTAAGTAAGGGATATAGAAGTCAGACGAGACTTTAAAAAGAAAGAGGAATGTGGTGTACTTCTCAGGGTCAGATGCCACTGGATGGAAGGGAAGGAAAGAATTTATAGAAAGGAGAATTATCCTAAATAAAAGAACACAGTAGAAAAACATATGGCTGACATGTTGGGGGGGGGGGGGGGCCAGATGCCCACCTCGGGCAGGGTTGTTTTTAATAAATTAGTGATAAATAATAGCAGACAGATAGGATGAGTCCCTGGTTATGGAATATATTGAAAATTAGCCATAATCTTAATTTTAACAGGCAATTGGGAGCCACTATATATATTCTGGTGTGGCTCTGTGGGTTAATAAGCTAGACTGGATAGTCGGTTTGAACCACAAGATTGGCAGTTCAAGCTCACCAGCTGCTCCTCAGAAACCCTATACAGGGTCACGATGGGTCAGAACTGACTCAACAGCACTTAACAACAACAACATATATTCTAGAGCCGTAGAGTAACATGATGAAGTATAATATTCTGGGGATATTAAAAGGCCACTATGTAAAATTTTGGGGTCCTGGTGTGGTGTTATGGGTTAATACGCTGGATAGCAAAGCTGGCTTGAACTGCAAGGTCGGCAGTTCAAGCTCACCAGCCACTCCTTGGAAACCCTATACAGGGTCGCTATGGGTCAGAACTGCCTCGACGGCACTAACAACAACAACATGTAAAATTTTCCCTTGGGGAAAAAATGAGCATATTTTATTTTCAAAAAGAACATAATCAAAATGACAAATACCATTTTTTCTTTTAAAAAAAGTTTCTTTGGGCTTAAAATGAAAGATATAAATATTTACTTTGTGAATTCTCTATCATTTATGCAAGAAAAGACTTAGTTCTAAGCATTTGAGCCGCTGAACAAGAAAATAAGTTGGTACAGTAGAAGAAATCTGCAGAACTCATTAAAAGATGATACTGTAGAGCTGTCTGTGAAGGTTTGTGGTATGTACAAGGCTGACCCTACCTTGCTGGGCAATCTGACAATGAGGTCCAGTCCAGGCACTGGTGCACTCACAACTGAAACCATTAACAGCATCAACACACGTTCCCCCATTCAAACAGGGGCTGCTCAAACATTCATTGATGTTTTCTGTACAGTTGATACCAGCCCAACCTGGCTCACATTTACAAAGATAGCCAGAGACGGTTTCCTATGGAAAGAAAAAACATAATACCATACAACAAATGAATAAACAATAAACTTCAATTGAAATAAAGAAGTGTTATGTGAGTCCAGTTGTGGCACTGTGGGATAAAGCACTGATACATGCACAAAGTCAGTTTGAGCCACAAAGTCGGTGGTTTAAACTCACTAGCCACTCCTTAGAAACCCTATAGAGGGTCACTATGAGTTGGGATTGACCTAACGGCACATAACAACAACAAAGTGATAACTGAAGCAGATACTGAACCATAGTAAGTATACTTCCCAGTACCCTAATGGTAGTGAATAAATTTAAGTGATAATTGCTAAGAAGTCACATTCATTTATATCAAACTGAAGGTTGTATTTACTACTTTGTAAATTGCACTGACAATTATTGACAGTTCCTTTATTTTAAGCCTGAATCATAACCTTATATGCATGATTAATATAGAAAATATGTTTCCTGGAAATGAGACCACAGTTGTCCTCAAGTACTGTGTTTATTATGAAGAACAAAGTACTCACAGTGCATTGTCCATTTAAACAGGGGTGACTAAGGCAAATATTACTGAGTTGTATACATCCATTTGCCCCATGGCCATTTCCAGTATATCCCGGGAGGCAGGTACAAAGAGGTAAAGAACCTGTTCAAAAACAAAAATAAAAGTGTCAACATAGGTTTCCTCAGTCCAGATGAAATAACTAAACTCAGGTTCTGCTGTCCAAAATGGTCATATGCCTGAGAAAAGAAAAGATCAGGTATGAGAAAAGCTATTACAATCTTTATTTTCCCATATTTTATCTTAAAAGTTATAAAAAGATATTAAGCTTTCCTAATTATTTGTATGTAAATGGACACTGGTGCTGTAAAGTCCATATGTCAGATGGTCCTGAGTTATAAATAAACATTCGGTATCTAAACAGAAGAGAAGAGGAGCTAAAGAAATAAAAACTTCTTTAAAGAAATTTTTATGGGGAAAAATGGAATAAGTAAACTTTAATGCTGCTACAACTTTGCCTGTAATTTTTTCAAGGCTTCTAGGGTAAGCTGACAGGTCAGAATACAGAAAATCAGCATAGAAGTACACAAAGTGCTACTTCATAGCATCTAAGGTGATTGTCTTCTGTATAAAAAGGTGTTCTTCTGATAATAATAATGTCTGTGCAAATATTTTACATTAATCCATTTGAGAATCCTATTAACTAGGTGTTATAATCATCCCTATTTTATACATGAAGAAACAAAACATTGCCATGGATTGACTTGTGTGCCCCAACCCCCAGAAATGTGTCAGCTTCATTGGACCATGATTCTCAGTGGTTTGGAAGTTGTGTGAAGATCCCCCATGGTGTGATCTCATGTGACAAATCAATGACAGAATTAAGAGTAAGGTTGTTGTTGCTGTTAAGTATCAAGTCAGAACTGATGCATAGTGACCCTGTATAGGGTTTCTGAGGATTGTTTGGTGACTTTGAACTACTAACCTTGCAGTTAGTATTCAGTGCTTATCCTATAATACTACACCAGGACTCAATAAACCACCCTTAGTTCTACCATGACCCTGATCCAATGTATGGGAGATCCCCAAGGGCACAACATGCAACACCTTCTATCTTACAAGAAATAAAAGGAGAGAGATGTGAACAGAGAAAGAAGGACCTATACCACCAAGAAGAAAGAACCAGGAGTGGAATGCATCCTATGGGCAAGGGTCCCTGCCCTGTGAAGCTCCTAGATCCGCATTACCATTGATGTCAAGGTGGAGATCTCCAAGGAATGCTGGACCTACAGATGCGGAAAGGATGTAAGAAGCTTTTCCCAGAGCTGGTATTCTGAATTTGACTTCTAGCCTTCTAAACTGTTAGAAAATAAATTCTGTTTGTTAAAGTCATCCATTTGTGGTATTTCTGTTATAGTAGCACTAGACAATTAAGACAAACATAGAGAGAGAAAGTTCTTGACCAATGATAAGATGCTAAGATGATAGAGTCAAAACATACACATTTGCATACATGTATATATATGCATATATACATTTTGTTGTTAAGTGCCGTCAAGTCAGTTCCGACCCATAGCGACCTTGTATAGCGTTTCCTAAGAGCAGCTGGTGAGCTTGAACTGCCGACCTTGCAGTTCAAACCAACTTGTGGTCCAGCACATTAACTCACAGCGCCACACCAGGACTCCGCATATATACATAGACACTCAAATATTCATATATATGTTGTTGCTGTTGTTAAGTACCATCAAGTCAGTTCTGACTCATAGTGACCTTGTATAGGGTTTCTGAGGAGCAGCTGGTGGGTTTGAACCAGCGATCTTGCAGTTCAAATTGACCTTGCAGTCCAGTGAATTATCCTGCTGCGCCGCACCAGGATTTGAGGGGAGATCATTAACAACCTTCGATATGCAGATGTAACAAATTTGTTTGCTGAAAAATTACAGATTTGCAGCACTTACTGAAAATTAAAAAATATCGCCATCAGTATGGATTACAATCAACATTTAGAAAACAAAAGTTCTCAAAACTGAACAAATTAACAACATAATGAAAAATGGAGAAAAGTTGAAGCTGTCAAGAATTTCATTTTACTTGGATCCACAATCAAACACTATGGAAGCAACAGTCAGGACAATTTATATATTGATTTATTTATATATAGATCACATTAGGCAAATCTGCTTCAAAAGACCTCTCTTTAAAGTGTTAAAGAGCAAAGATGTCATTTTAAGGATAAAGGTACACCTAACTCAAGCCAGCATATTTTCAATTGTCTCATATGCTTGTGAAAGCTGGACAAAGAATTTAAAAGACCAAAGAAGAATTAATGTATTTGAATTATGGTGTTGGTGAATAATATTGGATATACCATGGACTGCAAGAAAAACAAACAAACCTATCTTGGAGAAAATACAGTAAAAATACTCTTTAGAAGTGAGGATGGAGATTTCATGTCATGTTCCTTAGACATATAGACATATTATCAGAAGGGACTAGTCTCTGGAAAAGGACATCATGCTTAATAAAATGGAGGGCCAATGAAAAAGACCTTGTTGAAAAGACTGATGGAAAGATCAGCTCTTTTAACTAACTGGTCTTCCCACAATATATTGGCACCTGATGAGCCAAATGTTTATTGATGTCAAGATGTTCATTTAAAATTAAAAAATGCTGAACCATGTGATTTCCCATTTTCAGTAATTATCCATCAGTGGTACTTGGTACAGTCTTCTTTCAACAGTTTCTGGACTTCAGTCGCAATTTCTTCATTTATTGAGTTTGAGGGTGTTCCCTTTCTTGGCTCATCTTTTGAGAACTTCCCAACCTTCCTTTAAATGCTTCATTCATCTAAAAATTACTGGGGCAGCATTCCTGTGAAATTTTTGTATAGCTTCAAAGTTTCAGAAAGATGGCCACTTGAGTTTTGTTAAAATGTTGGTATTAGCCCTAACCTCAAAGTCATTTTTCTCCATTGCATAACAAGCTTCCATTTTTTAAAAAGCACCCTGAGGAGACTGTTGTTGTTGTTAAGTACGATGGAGTCAGTTCTGACTCATAGTGACCCTGCACAGGGTTTCCAAGGCTGTAAATCTTTACGGGAGCAGAACACCTCATCTTTCTCCCACAGAACCGCTGGTAGTTTCAAACTGCTGACCTTGAGGTTGGCAGCCCGACTCGTAACTATTACACCACCAGAGCTCCTTAAGGAGACTAAAGCAAGTATATTAATGAGAAAACTTGTCTGTAGTCATCCACTGATAGCAGAGAAACATTGAAACACTTTTAATTTGGAATACCCTCATGCATACACAAATTGGAACCCTAGTAGCAATTCTGTTAGACTTCTTGTTATTGTTGTTGTTGTTAAGTGCCATGGAGTCAGTTCTGACTCATAGTGACCCTGCCTAGTTTCAGAGGTTATAAATCTTTGCAGGAGCAGCAAGTCTCATCTTTCTCCCTCAGAGCAACCTTGTGGTTTGCAGTCCAGTGCTTATACTACAGAACCATCGTATTCCCTGTTGTTGGTGAAGTCAGCTCCTACTCATGGTGACCCTATGCACAACAAAAGAAAGCATTGCCCAGTCCTGCACCACCCTCAGTTATTGCTATGCTTGAGCCCATTGCTGCTGCCACTGTGTCAACCTATCCCATTAGAGGATTTCTACTTTTTTGCAGGCCCTTGGCTTTGCTAAGCTTGGCTTCATTTCACTGGACTGGTCCCTGCTGATAGCACGTCCAAAGTACAAGAGACAAGTCTCTCCATCCTCCACTGTTAGGGTCATTCTAACTGTACTTCCTCCAAGACTGATTTGTTTGCTCTTCTGCCAGTCCACAGTACTTTCAACATTCTTCACCATAATTCAGATGTATCCATTTTTGTCCAGTCTTCCTTATTCATTGCCCAGATTTCACATGCATATGAAGCAATCGAAAATTACGTGGTTTAAGTCAGATGCATTTTAGGCCTCCTAAGTGGTATCTTTGCTTTAATACTTTAAAGAGGTCTTTTGCAGCAGATTTGTCAAATGCTATCCTGGTGTGGTATTGTAGGATAAGCACTGGACTGCTAACCAAAAGGTCAGTGGTTCAGCCACTCCTCAGAAACCCTTTACAAGATAGCTATGAGTAGGAATCCACTCAACAGAACTTAGCAACAGAACTTAGCATCACTTGTTTTAACTGCTGCTTTCATTAGTATTGAGTGTGAATTCAAGGAATCCTTGAGAAATTCAATGTCTTCTCCACTTATCATTATGTTGTTTATTGGTCCTGTTGTGAGAATTTTTGTTTTTTTAATATTGAGTTTGCGTTGTTGACTACACAAAGGCTTTTGATTGTGTGAATCATGACAAGCTATGGACAATATTGCAAAGTATGAGTATTCTGGAACACTTAATTCTGCTCAGTGAGGAATCTGTACATGGACCAAGAGGCAGCTATTCGAACAGAACATGGGAACACTGAATGGTTTAAAATTAAGAAAGTTGTGCGACAGGGTTGTATTCTTTCACCATACTTATTCAACCTGTATGCTGAGCAAATAATTGAATTAATAAATAAATGGGAACACTGAATGGTTTAAAATTTAAAAATGTGTGCGACAAAGTTGTTTCTTTCACCATACTTATTCAACCTGTATGCTGAGCAAATATTTCCGAGAAGCTGGGTTCTATGAAGAAAAACATGGCGTCAGGATTGGAAGAAGACTCATTAGCAGCCTGTGATATGCAGATGATACAACCTTGCTTGCTGAAAGTGAAGAAAACTTAAAATATTTACTGATGAGGATCAAAGAGCACAGCCTTCAGTATGGATTGCATCTTAAGTAAAGACAACAAAAATCCTCACTTTTGGACCAATAAACAACATTCTTATTAATGGAGGAAAGATTGAAGTTGTCAAGGACTTCATTCTTCTTGGACCAATGATCAACACTCCCACAAGCAGCAGTCAAGAAATCAGATGACGTATTGCATTAGGCAAATATGCTGCACAAGACCTTTTTAAAGTGTTGAAAAGCAAAGATGTTAGCTTGAGGACTAAGGTGCATCTGACCCAAGCCATGGTATTTTCAATAACCTCATATGCATGTGAAAGTTGGACAGTATATATGGAAGACCATAGAATTGATGCTGTTGAGT